TGTGCAGGATTGGAGGATGGCAGGGAGGATGGAAAATAATACAACGGCATATAATGAACATTTAATGCTATTGATTTCATTCCTTCTTTTTCAAAAAAAGCCTCTAGGTACATTTCAAAAACATACTTAGAGTAAATAGTCAGACTTTGTATATTCCTTATATTTATTGAATGATAATGTACTATAGGATCTCTTATTAGATCAACAGAACTGTAGAATTCTTCGATGGGTCCATGCATTGCTGTAGCTTTTCTCTAGTAAAGCCAGCTCTGTTATAATCAGGATTGAAGTCTCGGTTAAGTCAATTGATACCTTCTAGACAATTTTAATTTCCTATTTGTTGTAAGGAGGGGCTGCTTGTTCATCCCAGCCGCCCGGCTAACTTAGCCCCGAAATAACCACACAGAAACTGTATTCATTAAATCACTGCTTGGCCCATTAGCTCTACCTTCTTATTTGCTAACTCTTATATTAACTTAACTCATTTCTATTAATCTGTGTATCGCCACATGGCAGTGGCTTACCGGGTAAAATTTCCAGCATCTATCTCTGGCAGATCCATGGTGTGTCTCCAACTCTGCCCTTCTTTTTCCCAGCATTCAGTTTTGTCTTTCCTGCCTATCTAAGTTTTGCCCTATCAACAGGCCCAAAGCAGTTTCTTTATTCATTAATCAATACAAGCAGCACACAGAGGGGACTCCCACATCACCCATTGTGCCTCTGTCATCATCTTGTCCCCCCAGTAGTGCCAAAACTGTAACCCTAAATGGTAGCCTCATCCATTCCAAATGCCTTAACCTCATGTGAGGCCTTCCCCAGTGAAGGCGAAGGCGTAAGTCACAAGCAATCCCACACCAGTTTGGAATTACGATTAATAGAATGGTTATTTATTTAAAGGGGAAAAAACTTACAGATCACCGTCCCAGACAACAGCCCTTTGCACAATCAGGAAGGGAGTCTAGTCGCTGGAAGCGGAGCAGGAAGTAAGAGAGAGGAGAGGGAAGTGGCCACTTTTTTAAAGGGAGAGAGACCACGCCCCAATGGGCTGGTATCTCAGCGGCTATTGGCTAAAGGAGCGGGAGGAGCTCCTGCTACACCCCAGACTTCACCCAAAGGCAGTCATTTCCTCCCCTGAATTCCCATCCCACATTACCTATGTGTGTCTGGTGTCGCATTGTACTTCATTCTTGGGAGTACAGCTTAGTCAGTCTCTAAAATAATGAACCACTAGTTATTGGCTTTAATGCTGCCAACTCTCTGACAAAGATAGGGTTCTTGTAGTCTTCGTTATCTCAGGTCCTGGAGTTTGTATTCATCACAGAATTGATCTTGAAGGGGCTGGAGAGATGGCTCATCGGTTAAGAGCACTGGCTGCTCTTCCAGAGGTCCTGAGTTTAATTCCCAGCAACCACGTGGTGGCTCACAACCATCTGTAACTCCAGTTTCAGGGGATCTGAAACCCTCATACCAATGTCCATGAAATAAAATTTAAAAAAAAATTGATCTCAAAGGGTTTGACCTGAAATTTTCCAGACAGATTTCATGAATGTAACTTACTAGTCAAAAGGCAGAGGTGTAGTAGCCTCGCTTATTACTGCCCCCTCCCCCCCGCATCTGTCCTGATGCTTGGTTGGGACAGTGAGGAAACTAGGTTTTCATAGTTTTCTAAGAAAAGCAAAGGCAAATTTCCACAATCCAAAGGGATTTTGAGCGAGATGTTCTAGCGTTGCTGACTGCCTTGCGGCCTTATTTGTATTTATCTTTTCCCTCCCTTTTCTCTGCTGGAATTCACCAATTAGGTTAGGCTAGACAGCCAGCAAAACCCAGTAATCCTCTTGTCTCTACCTGCCTGGGACTGGAATTACCAGCCACACCACCATGCCACAGGTTTTTTTTTGGGGGGGGGGGGAGGTGGAGTTCTGGGGATTGAACTCAGGTCATCTTTACAAAGTGAACAGTATGACTGAACTCTCTTCCAGCCTCTTTAATATATATATATATATTATATATATGTAACTAGACATGTATGTTAACCACATTTAGATATCTTTAAGGCATACACACACATATAAATAAGAATCAGTCCTTAGAAATTTGGAATTTTATTCTAATTATTTTCATGGCAATAAAATAAAAACTTAGAATGTGTTTTTGTAGACTTTTTACTTTTTCTAACTTTATCTGGTTTAATCCAGTATAAATGGAGTAAATTAAAAACCTAGAGTTCATCTGAAATAGCTCTGTGAGTTAGGTATCCTAAGACAAAATTGACATATTGGAAGGATTGTCCATCTATAAGACCTTGCTACCAGCTTATTGTAAGTCCCCGTCTCAGGCCTCCATCTTTGGAGGCCCCGCCCCTGTGCCCGTCGAATCTTGACCCCTCCCCTGAGGAGTGCCAAAGTGGCCTGCCAAAACAAGGCACACTTCCCCCCCCAAGAGCGCAGGAATCCCATTAAAACCTGGATATTCTTTAGTTCGGCTTCTTGTGATTTGGCTTGATTGGGGTTTTTGGCGTTGGCAGAGAGCTCATGTTAAGAAATATTCCTAACACATATGACAGGTTTTTCCCTTCCTTTCCAAGCCTCATATTCCCCCTTTCCTTTGTTATGTGAAGTCCTCTAATATAGTGTTGATTCAGTAATAGAAATGTTTTGTTAATCAGGCAGGAAACATTAATTCTCTCATCTTTGGGCTTTGTGTTGTTTGTGGATTTTTTTGTAGTTTCTCATAATCAAGTTTAGGAAGTTCCCTTGTATTTCTAGCTGTCTAAGGGTTCTTATGAATGAGTGTTGAACTAAATGGGTTTTCTTTTATATTTGTTAAAATATTTATGGATGTAGTAAACTAATTGATTCCTGAGTGGTTATTAACCTCTAATTACTACAGTGAAGCTCATTTAAATTTATTATACTTTGTTATATTACTGAAATGGATTTATTTTTTCATCCATATTTGAATATTACAGACACTGTTGTATAGTTTTGTTTTCTTGATTTTTTCTTATCTGTGTTTGGATCAGTGTAACATTAGCATTTGATTAGGTAAGCATGTTTGTGAAGAACTGCCAGTAGCTAAGTTTGTACATTGGTAGCCAGGAGTTCATGGCTTGTTGCCTCTACATGCTTTGAACCCCAGCTTGCAAGAGACCCTGTCTCAAAAAATAAACAAATCTCTAATAGTTTGCAAAACCTATCAACACAAAAACTAAAGAACAGTTTCTAATAAGGTCCATCTTACCAACTACCAGTCACCAATTAGGAAAAGTGAATTTCTAACTAAGCAGAGTTTATGTATTAAAGCCCTAAAAACAGAGATAGATATCCTTGGATATTAGCAGGAATTTTAGAAACAAATCCTTAAAAAGCATGACTGAGAGATGTTGTCTAAAGAATACTGCATCTCATTCATCAGATTAGTAAAACATATCTGTACTCTCCTCCTTTACATCCTTATAGAAATTCAGCAGTGTGTTGTTTAAGGAATAATGATAAGGAAGAAAGTCTGTGTACACTGTACACTTGTCAGTACATATGAAATGTTTTTCTTAATATCTCCTTTCTCCCTCCCTTTTTTTTTTCTTTTTTTTTTTTTCTCTTTTCTTTCTATGGTTTATCTGTGTAGCCCTGGCTGTCTTGGAACTCATTATATAGACCAAGCTGGCCTCAAACTCACAGAGATCTGCCTGCCTCTGCCTCCCAAGAGCTGTGATTATGTGTGTGCCATCACAGCCGGCTTTAAGTTTCCTTAAAGATTTTATGTTAGGATGTGTATGGGTGTTTTGCCTACACCTATGTCTGTGTAACGCGTATGTACATTGTCTGTGGAAGACAGAAGGGGCATCATGTCTCCTGGAACTGGAGTTACATACTGTTGTGGGCCACCATAAGGTGCTAGGAATTAAACCCTGGTTCTCTGGGATAACACCCAGGGCTCTTAAGTGCCGAGCCTATTCTCCAGACCCTTAATATTTTTGATGCATTGCTGCTTGAAAATAGAAGTCCAGTTCTACACCATAAAAAGTAGAGTTCCAAAGCCCATCTAATGACATAGACGATTCCCACTGAATTTGAGAAAATAAATATTCAGGATTATATTCACAGTATATGATTGTATTCACCATGTCTCAGTTTTGACACAATTCTCAATTTTGTATTAAAGTATAGGCAAATGCAAATTCTAACAGTAGTTCTAGAGAGTATGATTAGGAGCATTTTGTTGTTGTTGTTTATTCCAAATGTTTTACTATAAGTGTAGTTACTTTGAAAAGATATACTGATTTCATTGTGTTATTTATTGTTTGGCAATTTCATGAAAATATATATTTTGATATTAGATGTATATGTTTTGATCATATTAAATCAAAATTCTCTCTCCCACCTCCCCCAGGACCAGTGTCTCCCATACTTCCTTTCCTCTCCCACCTTCATATCTTCTTTTTTTGATATACTTTTATTCTTTGAGAATGTCATACATGTATACCAGGTATTTTGATCATGTTCTCACTCCTTTCTCTAATTTTCTCAGACCCTCCTCGACACATCCTCTCTACCAATTTCATGTCCTCTTAATTTTTAATAACTCACTGAGTCCAATTACTGCTTATCATAAGTGCATGGCCAGACTACTAGTGATGGCCACACACCCAAAGAAAAATAACTCTCTTCCTCCACAGCCAATAGCTCCTCACCCAGACCACCGCATAACATGTTCCTCTCATGTTCATTATCATCTTCTGTTCCACCTCCTCCCTTTAAAGATAATCTACTTGTTCCAGCTGGTGTTGTTTGCATGCACATGGGTATGAGGCCATACACCGGAGCATAGGCAACTTTCAAGTTATCATAATCTGGAAGTGTGCTAATTTATACTGTTACAGTAATGGTGTCAACTCTCATTTATCTGTAAATATAGTCACCATGTTTCAAAAACTGTGACTGACTGCTATGTCCTCTTACTGTTATCTTAATGTTTTCTTTCTTTTTAACCCTTTATCAAAGGTTGAATTAATAAAAGGGAATTTACAGAGTGTGGGACTTACACTTCGTCTTGTTCAGTCAACTGATGGATATGCTGGGCATGTCATAATTGAAACCGTGGCCCCAAACTCACCTGCTGCCATTGCAGATCTTCAGCGAGGAGACCGGCTCATTGCAATTGGAGGTAATTACACACTGTGAAGTATGATGTGGTGTGCACAGAGAAACTACAAAAGAGGTTGGGGCTTTTCTCTCTTCCTTCTCCCTATATCTGAAACAAGCATTTGCTAGTTTTATAACAGAAAAGCATCATTATAAACAGAATTATAAATTATACCTTAATGCACTTGTAAAATGTTTGCCAGGTTAGTCCTAATCGCTAAGTCTTTAACATAATTTATCTGGAAAGCGCTTTACTAGAACTTGTCTAGTTTGCTCTCCCTTCCCTCCTCCTCCTCTGTGCTTACTATTGAATGTGAAATGAAGAGCAAGTTATCCCTTCCTGTACATCTGTCACCACTGTGACTCTAAAACGCTGGTATTAGCAGCACTCGCTTCTTGTTGTAGGACCAGAAAATTAGTAGGAGAGAGATTATATTCCTTGCTGAAGAGGAAGGGTACATCCAACACTGTTCTGAGGCTCGAATGCCAGTGGTTTGTTAGTGTGCTGGTATTCAGAATCCATCCCAAATCTGTGGTAAATATGTAACCTGCATACTGCATACCTTCCTGTAGGCTGGATTGTTGTAAGTAATAAAAATAAAAATCGAGGCAAATTATTTGCCTGAGTATATATACCTAACAATAGAACTCATCTGTGCACAGCAGCACAGAATAATCCAGGTCTTTTCAGACTTCATAGTACCTGGCCCACATATTGTAGGCTTTGAACACATAAAACTGGATATAATTATTCTTTTAGGATTATTGTGTTCTTTCAGGCTAAGACAATAAAGTAGTGCAGGTCCCAGTGAAAAAGTAGTTATCCTTGGTTATAGTAGAGAAACTGCTTTGACACTGAGGTAATGAGAACAACTCAGCTACGTACCTGGAGGTCAGTGAAGCCCCTCTGACCGTGGCATGCACAGTGCCCTTCATTCCACAGTCACCAAGCACTAGTAGTTAGAAGTCATTCTGATTCAGAAAACTTGGTGTAGGGTCTAAGAATCTGCATTTCTCTCTACTTTTTGATTATGTGGTTTGTGTTTTGCTTTTTTGTTTTGTTTGATTTTCAAGATGGGGTTTCTCTGTGTAGCCCTGGCTGCCCTGAGTGGCTGTCCTGGAACTTGCTCTGTACACCAGGCTGACTTTGAACTCAGAGATACACCTTCTGCCTCCCAAGTACTGGTGTAAAGGCGTGCACCACCACCACCTGCAGGTTGTTTTAGTGTTCCTGGCTCATGGACACTTAGGACATAGAGTAGACTCATCCATTACATAGCTGTCTGTATAAATATGAAAAGTTTGTCTCCTTCAGCAAAACCATGGTTCAATATAAATGCTTTTGCTTAATACATATTCTGTTTTGGGCTTACCTACATGTTTTATTTAAATTATTTCTTTAACTTTTAAATGTGCCTCTTAAGTTCTGTTTTTAATTGCACAAGCAGCAAACACCTATTATCCAAAATAAAAAGTCCAATCCATATAAATATTTAGAAAGAAAAAGCAAAAATTACCTTTTTAAGATACCCAACATTCATAAAAGTACAAATTTTATTGATTGAAAAGTCGGGTATTATACACATTTGCTGCTAAAGTTTCAAACATAACAAAAAAACTTTATTTTTTATTTAATGTGTATGCATATTTTATGTGCATGTATATCCATGCACCAGATGTATGTAGCATCTGCAGAAACCAATAGGAGGAGTCACCTTTCCTGGAATGAGAGATACAGAGGTTATGAACCACAACGTGGCTATTAGGAATCAAACCCCGTCCTCTGAAAGAGAAGCTCTCCTAACTGCTGAAGCCATCTCTCTAGTGCCATAGAAACCGTTTTTAGTGCCCCTCCTCATGTAAATAAATACATTCCTTGTCCCAACCATTGCACACAAATTCAAGTCCTACAGTATATTTTAGTAACTCTTATTTCTTTTAAAAGTCATAAACTTTGCCCTATGTTAATTGGTATTTCTTAAATAATTATAATTCATTTGAATTTACAATAGTTTTAATAATAGGAGAATAGTAGTAGTAGGAATAAGATTGACAAAATGCTATGTTTAGGTTCAAAATAGAGTTAATTTTGCTGCTTTCTAAATTTCTGAGCATGTTTGAAATATCCTGGAAGGTATTTGAAATATCCTGAAAGAAAAATTCAGATTCCAGATGAGCAAACCCTGGTATAGTGACCACCTTCACAAAGCACCCAAGATGATGTGAGGGCAAGTTTTCCCACAGCACAAATAAAGAAGTGAGATTGGGGTGAAACTTTTGTGTACTTGCTAGAGAGCACATTAGGTGACGCTTCATTTGTGCATGTGACAAGCTGCCGTACTTCTGGGATATAGTATTCCTGCATGACAGTAGTCAAGTTACTAAGCTGAGTCAGGAAGATCCCCGTGAGGAAGCGCATGGAAATTCAGAATTCCACTGGAAAACCTGGCAGCACTGGCGTCAGAGCAGAAAGGTCAGGTGAGACGTTGCAGTTCAAGGCTGTTTCTGACTATAGCTGAGGCCAGTGGTCAGGAGTGGAAGATAGAACTCCAAAGGCCAAGGGTCCAGAGCTCTGAGTTGGGATTGACAGCTCAGAGTACATGGAAGTCAGCTGTCTCCAGGGCAGTAGCAAGTTGATTTGAGTCAGGACAGGACAATGTGCATTGTAATCAACTTGTTTACCTTGAAAGCATCTTACCTCTTCTCTTCCCTTCTTAGAGAGGTTGATCGTCATGTATACGGCTAATCAACAGGATCTGTGAAAGGGTCTGTTATTTATAGTGTAATATTCTGTTTCTTTTATTTACTTCAGACATTGGTTTCTAAATTTGAATCATTTGCTTACAAATCCTGGAGTTATTTGAGAATTTTCTTCAGTAAAATGACTGCTTTCCATCATTCAAAGTGTGGTTTACCCCTTATTAAACCTGTTTAAATAGGTCTCTGCTCACTTCAGCAATTCAACTGGGACATATTATTGTTGAAGCCAAGAGGGAATGGGAAGCTGCTAGAAATTAGCAGCTGCTCAGGATTTTTGTATCATCCAGGAAACAGTAGTTCCAGGCACCCTGTGCTGATTAAATTCAAAATTTAAGTGAAATATTTTTTGAGGTTTCCTTATTGCTCTTCCATTTATTAAGTAATCATGAGGTAAAGGCAGTGTAGGTAAGTCTTATTTCAGTAATTTGCATGTTTTCCCCTTTGAATCTTAACCAGGTGTGAAAATCACATCGACACTGCAGGTGTTGAAGCTTATCAAGCAGGCTGGTGACCGAGTCCTGGTGTACTATCAAAGACCTGTCGGCCAGAGTAACCAAGGGGCCGTGCTGCAAGACAGTTTGGGCCAGTTGGAAGAAAACTTTTTGTCAAGTGCCTGCCAGCCAGGTTATGAAGAAGAAGCTGCTGGGTTGCCAATGGATACTGAAAATAGAGACCTTGATTCAGAATTTGAAGACTTGGCAAGTGATGTCAGAGTACAAACAGAGTTCAAAGAGGAGGCACAACCCTTGAGTCCCAGTCCCAAGCGCACTCCAACAACGCTTTCTATTAAACCCCTTGGCGCTATATCCCCAGTTTTAAATCGAAAATTAGTTTCAGGAATCTATCCACCACCACAAAAGCTTCCATCTAAAGAAGGAAATAAACCATCAGCTCTAAAAACTTCAGAGGCCACAGAAGCAGCACCAGTGTCCAAACCCCAGGGATCCACTTTCAAACCACCTGTGCCACCACGACCACAAGTGAAAATTGCTTTGCCTTCCACTGACACTCCAACCCAGGCAGACCCGGATGCTGTTGAGAAGCCAGAGAAGGTGCTGCTCCCTCCTCCTCCTGCAGAGAAGCCTGCTGAAAAGCAAGTAAAGAGCGTGGATCATGGGGAAGATGGGGCAACAGGTAAGCTGTCTTCAGCAAAGCAAGAAGTAGTAAAAGATGTTACTTCAGAAAGTTCTGGTCCTACTAAGGACACTTCGGATGACCATCAGATGTGGGAATCATCAGAGGTTCTTTATCGTAATAAGGTGGGAAAGTGGTCAAGAACCAGAGCATCCTGTTTGTTCGACATAGAAGCCTGCCACAGGTACCTGAACATTGCACTGTGGTGCAGGGATCCTTTCAAGTTAGGAGGCCTCATCTGTTTGGGGCATGTTAGTTTAAAACTTGAAGAGGTGGCTTTAGGTTGCCTGGCTACATCAAACATGGAATACCTTTCAAAGTTCAGACTGGAAGCCCCTGCTCCTAAGGCCATGGTCACTAGAACTGCACTGCGCAATCTGAGTATGCAAAAGGGCTTCAACGACAAATTTTGTTTTGGTGACATTACTATTCATTTCAAATATTTGAAGGAAGGAGAACCAGACCACCACATCGTTCCTAACATAGAGAAAGAAAAAGAACTTCATTTGATTGAGGAAGTTTCATCACTCCCTAAAGAGGAACATTTTGTGGGGCAGATGAGTTTGTCAGAAAATAAACATAGTTTCCAGGATACTCAGTTCCAAAACCCAACTTGGTGCGATTACTGTAAGAAAAAAGTCTGGACAAAAGCTGCTTCCCAGTGTATGTTCTGTGCTTATGTTTGTCATAAAAAATGTCAAGAAAAGTGTCTGGCTGAGACGCCTCTTTGTGGAGCAACTGAGAGGCGAGTAGACCGGACCCTGAAAAACCTCAGGTTGGAGGGACAGGAACCACTCATGGGCCTTCCCCCTCGTGTGGAGATGGAAGCTAACAAGTCAGTTCATAAAACAACAGGCTTGACAAGGCACATTATTAATACTAGCTCTCGTTTACTAAATTTGCGTCAAGTCTCTAAAACTCGTGTTTCTGAACCAGGAACAGATCTTGTGGAACCATCACCAAAGCACACACCCAACACATCAGACAATGAAGGAAGTGACACAGAGGTGTGTGGTCCAAACAGCCCTTCCAAACGAGGGCACGGTGCAGGAATAAAGTTGGTGAGAAAGGAAGGTGGGCTGGATGACAGTGTTTTCATTGCAGTGAAGGAAATCGGCCGTGATCTGTACAGAGGCTTGCCAACAGAAGAAAGGATCCAAAAGCTAGAGTTCATGCTGGATAAACTGCAGAATGAAATCGATCAGGAGTTGGAACACAATAATTCCCTTGTTAGAGAGGAAAAAGAAACAACCGATACAAGGAAAAAATCACTTCTTTCTGCTGCCTTGGTTAAATCAGGGGAAAGACTACAAGCTCTGACACTCCTGATGATCCACTACAGGGCAGGCATTGAAGACATTGAGACCCTAGAGAGCTTGTCTTTAGACCAGCACTCGAAAAAGGTAAACAAGTACACAGACGATACGGAAGAAGACCTTGATAGTGAAATAAGCCAACTGATCGACTCTCAGCCGTTCAGCAGCATCTCGGATGACTTGTTTGGCCCATCAGAGTCTGTGTAGCAGACAAACTAAACTTTGAAGTGGTTGGGGACAAAATGGATCTGGCGTGCCACGGATACAGCCATGTTTCAGTTCTCTGGTGGTGCACTTTGGCCTGCTTCTGCAGTTGCTTGCTTGTATAAGAATGAAAGGTGGTTTTCCAGCAGAAACATGACGAGCTCACCAAACTGGTTGTTTTGGATTGTGCTTATTCTTAATGGTTTTGGGGTTTATACTGGGAATTGGGTTTTATTAATTTATTTTTAACCTTTTCTAATTATGTAAGCTAACTTTGTGTTTATGTATTGTGATGTCTCACTGTCCTTTTTTTTTTCTTTCCTCCTGGTTATTGAATTAATGTTAAGTAAGATCCTGTCCAGATTCCTGAAATATTTTCATTCTCATTCATCACGGTTATAACAGCAGATTTGTTGCATGCCTAAATTGACAGCAGTAATCACTGAGGGAACAGAATTGAATCTTCTTTCTTCTATGTTTTGAGGTTTGTCAGCCGTACTTGCGTGAGGTTTTTGTTATATGGGGTTTGGGAGGATTTGTTTTGTTTTATTTTGTTTTGTTGTTGTTGCCAAATACAAATGAAAGCAAACCATGCAGCTTTAAAATGTTATGCTGATTTAGTTTTTTTTTACGTATATTGCTTGCTTCTTATGCTTCTGTGATATTTTTTAAAGCTTTTATGCAGTTGAAGTATAGTAAAATTATAGTAATTAGCTAAGAAGTTGCATTGAATAGAGGATAAATGCAAAATCTAGTTGGTGAAGAATTTTGTAGAGAGGATAACAAGATTTTATTACTGAAGAGTTACCAGTAGGATTTTGAAATATCTTTCAAATGTTGATGCTTTCCTTTTAAATGGAAGTTATGAACATTCATGATGATTTTTCATCTTTGGTTCTCCCATAGGAAATAAAGCATGTATAAGGATATTTAAATTTTCACAGGCTTGTTCAGAAAATGGCTGCATTGATAACTTGCTTCGTTTGAAAAAAAATTTTAATGTAGGACTATGCTGTGGAGGGCAATTATACAGAATATGTTTACTACACAAATCCTTTGGTGTCTGTGGCCTTAAAGGAATGTCAGTCATTCTGAATTATTTAATAATTCAGACCATCATCATTCATTGTAAAGAAAAATAAAAATAGACAGTGTGCATAGGATTTGGGACTAGTTCTCTAAAAATGAAGGCCTGCTGTGGTACTGGGTTCATCTAATGGATGCTAATAACACACAACTGAGAGAAATATGGGAGCTTGACCCCTATTGATGTATCTTTAAAAGTCCGAGCCTGGTATACCTATAGAATAGAAAAGCGTTTTTCCCTTTTACAATAACACTATGATAACACATAAACCAACTTAATTTAAAACTATGGAACAGCTCTTTCGCTGCAGGAAAATTTGTAGAATGATATAGTAGAGAGAATGGTCCAGTCTGTAGCTCAAACTCCAACAGGAGTTTGAGGCCAAGCTCTTGAGTGAGCACTGCAGCATAGGCAGGTCACAGAGGGTCACCCAGCACAGCTTCTCTGTCTCCGAAGGTACTTAACTCTACCTCACGGGGCTGTTGTGAGACAAACAGGAGCATAACTGCAAAAGTGCTTTGAACAGTAAAAAGCGGTGAACATAAAAGGTATTACTTACATGAGAAAAGCGTTGTTGCGTGTGGAAGGTTATTCTAGCTTTAAATTCAATAGCTAACTCTTGTTATTAAGTGAACACTAGGACACAAACTTTCTATCTGTGTAATCCCCACCCCACCCCTGCTTTCTACAACAAATCCCAGAAGCTAAAATGTTGCTCCACATCTTATGCTTGAAGCAATCTGCCTGATGTATAGCCATGTTTCATCTTGTAAACAGTAACTTGCCATTGCTGCCTGAAGGTGATGCGTCTGTAAGTGGCTGGTATGTATACAGATAAATCATGGAAGTTTTAGCGATGCCCAAGCATGCTCCTGCACTGACTTTGAAAGAGCTATAGAAGTAATGCAAAGCTTTAGTTCTAAGAATCTACTCATGCTTCAAAGTATTTATCTCTGTAGAACCACAATCATGGAAAGCTCGACAGTGCTGCTAATGGTGTTTGTAAAATAGGCCTTTAATATCGTGCAATATTTTTCTATTAGGAGAGACAGTAGAGGCATCACAGTTGTACTTTAGAGCAGGGAAGGAGGGGAAACTCCAAATACCCTAGAGCATAGTAAGGGATAAGGCTTCAGTTTAAAAGGTTGTATTATATGACATTACTCATGTAATCTTGCTGCCATGCTATGTTATCAATAGCTAAATAATAATAATAAAGACTACCACGGAAAATAAGAATATCTTCATTTGATGACATCTGAAAACAAGGTGATTGGTTCATCTCTGTGGCATTATACCTGATGTAATTGGCCATGCAGACAAGCTAACAATCCATTTTTACTAAACAAATTTGCAAAAGCATTCAAACTTTTACTGTTGCTACCTTACCTTTTGAAACAGATGTATGGATTTTTTTTCTAATGCTATAGCATGTGGTAATAAGCATAGTGAGACATGTCTCAGGAAAGAAAAATTGGACTGTTTAAAGTGTGTTCTCTTCATTGGTATTTAGATGAATGACTGGATTAGACAAAATGAACAACATCTTAGTATTTTGCAATCACAATGTGTATGTTTCTTTTTTATTTATTGTGTTGGCTCTTTGAGACAGTCTTTCTCTATAGGCCTGACTGTTGTGGAACTCATTGTATAGATCAGGCTGGCCTCGAACTCAACAGATATCTGCCTGCCTCTGCCTCTGGAGTGCTGAGATTAAAGGCATGTATCATCACATCCAGCTGTGCTATATTTAAGTTCTCTAAAGTAAGTTTGAAATCACTTCAATTTTTAAAAGATGCATTAATTTTCTAAATTGAGGTGATGGTTTTTCGTATCCCCTCCCTCCAAAAAAAAAAAAAAGCAAAGAACGGTGGAAAGGGGGATTACCTTCATCCTTCTTGATTCTTTTATGTTCCTCAAGGTCTGAGTAAAACAGTATGCCACCCTAATCCTGGAAACTACCATGTCTACCCCATTCAAAGTGATCCTAATTTCTAGATCTTCCAGAGCCTGTTCTGTCAAATGGTTTGCTGTCACAGCTCTCCTCATCAGATAATTTATCTGTTCACAGCAATTAGAACAGTTTTTGGACAGCTCACTGTTCTTCCACACTGATAGGCTATAGCAAGTCCTGTGTTTCATTTAAAACAGACTGTGGAAAGGCAAAGCGGACGGTTCACCCTAGCCTGGAGTGAGTTGTGCCTGGTGCCCGCAAATACAGAGAATGCTTTCTAATTAAACATGTACAGCCGAAACAGTGTGCATGTATTTTATTCCAGCAGCAGTGTTGATGAAATGGCTTATAAAGAATACAGGCAGGTACAGCACAGTGTTGGAGAAGATTTATTAAGTAACCTAGCTAAAGTGCAGCTAGGACAGAGAGATACACTTAGCAGTCAGAAGAAGTTTCGTATCCATTGCTACCTCACTAAGATTTGTGAATTACCAAGTACAAACAAAAGCAACCTCTACTTTGTGAAAATGTTCAGTTATAAGTTCTTTTTCTGGAACATGCACAGTATTTTTAAACACCCTATTTTCAGTCTTGTGTACCCAGGATATTAGTCATAATATGTGTTTATCTTCCCCTTGGAAACAAGTTATCATTTGCTCTCTAAAATGTTCTGAATGTTTTATTTTGTCTTTTTGCTGTGGAGTGGAGTAACTGGCATGCCTTTGCTAGTCATCCTTGATGACCCTCAGAACAGAAACGACCCCAGCATCAGTTATTGCATGTGGTACTGTGGGCAAGGAGAACTGCAGGCCTCTCTAAGCACAGTACTTCTAAAGCTGTCCTGACGAAGCGCAAGTCCCACCTTTTGATTTCAGTCACGTGAGAGTTCCTCTCCAGCCATCTTTCAGAGCTGCAGACCTTGTGACTATCCAGCAGTTTCATGAGTAGGAACCTGTTTCCCTCAAACACATGACTTCAAGTCACCAAGGTCCCACAGAAAGATTCATAAAGCAAAAGAAGTATTAGCCACTTTCCTAACGAATGTGTAATAGCCAATAAGGTTGAGGGGTTGTTGTCCTAAAGTTCACTTAATGTCCAGGGTTACACAAACACAATTCAGATTAACAAAACTGACAGGTATTTTTTTTTTTAAACAACTGCAGAGTTGACATGTACTATTTGAGACATATCCCACACTGTGTTTATATTCTGGGAGGCTGTAATCTCGTACAAAGCGCTACAGATAAGGTTCACTAATGCTGGCACACTGAAAAGGTACATCAGTGTTGGCATGCTTAGAAAAACTATTCTACTCCACACACAAGATGACACAGCAACACATACACATTTGTAGATGGGTTTTCTGCTCCAGAAAGGGAAAGTGCCCTGATCACCCTAGTATCTTTCTTAACATACTAATGTTAGACATGAACAATTTCATCCCTTCATCCTTGTTTGGAATTCATTTCTACATTGATAGGAACAACTTTTAGGAGTCTAAAAAATAAGAGCAACTCAAAATTAAGAAACCTCTAGAAAAACACTTGGATGACCTACAAGTAGATAAAGATGTGATAGTCTGATTGTTCACATAGCAGCTCGATAGCCTTTGTTTCCTTTCCCAAAACAGGAACTAGGTTTGGTAAATCATACCATGCTTAACCTTGCCAGTGTACAAATACATACTTTATTTTCACCCAGTAAGACTATTAAGTCTATATCTTTCAAAGAAGGCAACATTTGAGTTCTTTTCTCTACTTTCAGAACATTGACTTTTACCCCTTGTTGGCTTTAATGATTGTTGCCAATGACATGACACAGAAAACAGAATTTACAACCATCCATTTCCAGGTAGGTGGTGATAACAGAAAACCGATGCCAGCAAAGGTTTATGACTACGTCTGAAAGATGGCTGACACAACTTCTTGTCCTCTGTGCTTGAAATGACTAGCCTTTAACTCAGAAACACTGATACTAATTACACACTAAATAGTGACGCATTCAGTGCTGCCACATGACGATGCATGACTGTTTCTCAGACCTCTAGTTTCTTGTTGGAGAGTCTCAGATAATGTGTGCTTTAAACACTCATTACCAGTATTCAGAAAAAATACAAGACTTTTTTGTCCAAGTGTTCGTGAATGTAAGTTAAAAAATTATATTTGATTTGGATTCAAATATTTATACATTTACAATATACCTATTTCGTCAAAATATATTGTATAATATTTAATAAAACCAAATACATAAAATAAAGTTTTCAACACTATTTATACAAACCCCTAGAAAAGCTGCTTTTTCTTTATAAGGCTGTTGGCAGTCGGTCATAACCATGGAAAAGAAAGTATCACCTTTGGTTGTTTTACTCTTTGCCAGGAATGGATGATGTGATGAAGACAGCTCTGCACGAGTCATTTCACTGGAGACACTGATACACAGTTAGGCACTTGCCAACGTAGAGGGTCTCAGTCACTTTCAGATTCTTCATCCTCACCGATGGGATACGACTGGACATTATTCTGAGTGTACATTTTTGTTTTAATGGGGCAGTTGTGGTCCATGAGGATAGCCTGAAAGCAAAATACAAGTACATGAACTTCTCGCTTTGTAAAGAGACGATGGTTTTAACCCACTGCTGTTAATTGTTACTATTTTGAAAGCAATTGCCATTTCTTGACCTTCAAATCTCAAATTCTCCACTTAGTGAAAAGTTTTAGGTAATAGGCAAGAAGTAGTCTCTGGGATGTGTTCATTGTACCTGTTGTAGGTGGAAGTTGAGTTTTGTGAAACAAAGGATGGGTGGATTAGGTTCAATAAAAGTTAAACTGAGTCTTGTAAGGGTTGGGAGCTGGAGACTGCCACTAGAGGGAACTTCATGAAGATGTTTGAAGGGAACTCTTGTAAGAAATAGAGGGAATCGGAACTGAAATCCACTCTTACTCAACTATGGCTCTTGTTCGGATGATAACCACTTACACAGATTGTCTTACAATTTGTTAAGACTACATTTTGCCATGGCCCTTTAGTTTCCCAGGTCAAACATCCCAGGGCTTTGTTTACAAATGTGATGCTCAGACCATCTCTCTCCACATCCTAGCTGCCTTCTTTTTAGCACAAATGTATATGTAAAATACATTGCCCATAACTGCAAAAGGAAAAAATATCCACAAAAAAGTGATGCTTTCTTTCCAAAGCACCCTCAGCAAGAAGTACTGGCGTCACTATTCCTGCCCGCGTGGGCCAAGCCTGACATCCTGTCAGGAACATGGCTACAAGTAGACGAAAGCCTTAGCTTCACAATAAGTATAGGTGAGAAGTTGAGAAAGTAGGCACACAGGCTTAAAGAACTTCAACGGATATTCACCTCCCAGCCACTACAGCTGGTCAAGTCCTTTAGTGTGTTTGCATAGACTGTATCTCCATGTACATTTCAATTCAACTTTATGGTATCCAGCACAATACAATGCAAATGTGTAGTATAACTAGGGGATGGTTTTTTAAATGTACAATTAGTACAGTTGTTTTTTAGACACTTTGGCTTCACATTTGCCAAGTCTACAGATGAGAAGTTGTGGGTGCAGACAGCAACAGTGTGGCATAATGGTGCAGAGCAAGAGGCCAGGCAGCTCCAAGACCAATTCCAGTACAAACCAAATGAATCAGGTATGTCTTAGCAGTCTCCCACCTTTATGGGAACCATTCCCCCAAGGGATGTGTGCAGTCTGCAAATCTGAGTGGATTCAAATGTTCTGAGCCTGCCTGTGGCAGTCTATCTTGGTGTCTGTTCATTATCCCCGGTTCTGGTCCTGCAGATGTGATAAGACGCCACTCAGTGCTTAACCCTTTTATCATTTTCCTAGAGATTCTCAAGTGCTCAGATGTGTGACACAAAGATAAGGACTTATGTGACCCTAGTCGGGCTGTCATCTCAAGCCGCCAGCTTCAAACTCGGCTCCCCTTCCAATTATGCCGCTTGCTGAGTGAATTGATAGTTGTGCTTAAAGGATTTGATTATTAAAATAGTTGAGGTAACAGACATTGCATGTTTAAACCATTCTCCCTGTGTTACACAAAGGTTCAGCCTTTGGTAGCTAAAGGTAATCTCCCCCAGATTGTGTGCCCAGAGGTCATTATGGAGAAGGTCTGGGGCAAAGTGGAGAGGCTAAGTGAAATCCAGGTTCCTACCTTCACAGTGACTGCTATCAACAACCCCAGAGCACTGCCTTGGTTACGATACGTGGTGTGAGACTGTAGCAGTCATCAGCTGACATGGACTTCTAGGGCACCTACTGTGTTTCTGACCTTACCCTGAAGGTCCTATACCAGTGACAACTCCAGAGGTATGGACAGGTTCCCCAGGGTCACAGATGGAGGACTCACTGGAGCCTAAGGCTTAGCAGAAGTTCTTAGAGGAGATGGGAGCTTAAGTGAATCCTGAAACACAGGAAGGTTTGCAGAAGACAGGCTTGAATGAGCAAATCATAGGTTATGGAGGGTAGTAGGTAAAGCACTAAGTCACCATGGCCAAGGAGGTCTTAGGAGGCAATGGAGACAGCAGTTGGAAAGCACCACCAAAGCCAGGAGCACCAGGCATGAGCCTTGATCTTTATCTGGTCCACAGGCAGCAAAGCTACATCAAAGAGAGTGACCAGCACTGCCCTGTTCACAACCACCGTCATCTCTGCAGTCACCATTCACTTCTACAGGTAATCTTGAGAACTCCAGGACTGGAACACAGAATATACTCAACAAAAACTGTTCTGGGAGTTGCTGGGCATGGTAGCACATACCTTTCATCTCAGCACTCAGGAAGCAAGGCAGATGGATCTCGAGTTTGAGGCCAGCCTGATCTACACAGAGTTCTAAACCAGCCAGGATCCTGTCTTTAAAAGCTGCCCTGGGATTAGGGAGATATCTTAATGGTAAAGAAGTGTTTGCCTCCCAAGCATGAGGACCTGAGTTCAGTCTCTAAAACCCTC